ATATTGGCTGTAGGTTTTTCATATATGGACTATATTATGTTGAGGTATGCACCTTACTCCCACTTTGCTGAGTGTTTTTATCATACACGGGTGCTGTAACCTATCTAATGTTTTTCCATATCCATTGATATGATCATGTGATTTTTCTGTTTCCTTTTGTTCTTGTGATGTATTACGTTTATGGAATTGTGAATATTGAACCTTCCTTGCATCTCTTGGATGAATCCCACTTGATCATGATGGATGACCTTATTACTGTATTGCTGGATATGGTCTGCCAATATTTTGTTGAGGATTTTAGCATCTGTGTTCATCAGCAATATTGGCCTGTAGTTTTCTTTCTTTGCTGTGTCTTTATCTGTTTTCGGATTAGGATGATGCTAGGCTCATAGAAAGAGTTTGGGAGTCTTCCCTCTTCTTGGATTTTTTTGGAATAGTCTGAGAAGGATAGGGGTTAACTATTCCTTAAGTGTTTTGTAAAATTTTCCTGTGAAACTGTCTGGTCCAGGGCTTCTGTTGCCGGGAGTTTTTTGATTACTGGTTTAATTTCACCAGCGGTTAACAGTCTATTTAGGCTTTCTCCTTCTTCTTCATTCAGTGTTGAAAGATTATATTTTTCTAGAAATTTGTCCATTTCATCGAAGTTTTCAAATTTCTTGGCATATAATTGTTCATAGAAATTTCTTACAATCCTTTGTATTTCTGTGGTATCAGTTGTTATTTCTCCTCTTTCATTTCTAATATTATTTATTTGGGTCGTCTCCCCTTCCCACTGCCCTTGGTAAGTCTGCTTAAAGGTTTGTCAATTTTGTTTATCTTTTCAAAGAACCAGCTCCTGGATTAGTTGATCCTTTGGATTGTTCTTTTATTCTCTATGTCATTCAATTCTGCTCTGATCTTGATTATTTCCTTCCTTCTACGTACTCTGGTCTTTTTGCTGTTTCTCCACTTCTTGAAGCTGTAAGGTTAGGCTGCTTATTTGAAATGTTTCTATCTTTTTCAGGTAGGCCTGTGTTGCTATGAACTACCCTCTCAGGACTGCCTTCGTTGTGTTCCATAGGTTTTGGACTGATGTGTGTATTTTCATTTGTTTCCAGAAACTTTTTGATTTCTTCTCATCCCATTATTGACCTGTTTGTTGTTTAATAGTGTGCTATTCAGTCTCCATGAGTTTGCAAGTTTTTGAGGTTTTTCCTTGAGGTTGGTTTCTAGTTTCAAGCCCTTGCGATACAAGAAAATGCTTGTTATGATTTCAATTTTATTGAATTTGTTGAGCCTTGTTTTGTGTCCTATCATGTGGTCTATCTTTGAAAGCGTCCCATGTGCATTTGAAAAGAATGTGTATTTTGCTTCTTTTGGATGAAAGGTTCTATAAATGGCAGGTAAGTCCATTTGATGTAATGTGCTGTTCATTTCCACAATATCCTTGTTGATGTTTTGTTTGGAAGAGCTATCCATTGCTGACAGTGCAGTGTTATAACAACCCACTATCAATGTGTTACTGTCTATATCTTTCCTGAAGTCCTCCAAGATTTTCCTTATATATTTGCATGTTCCTGTGTTGGGTGCATATAGGTTTACAATGTTTATGTCATCTTCAATGATTCTTCCTTTGAGTATTATGAAGTGTCCTTCTGGATCTCTTTTCATGGCCTTTGTTTTGAAATCTATTTTGTCTGATATAAGTACTGCTACCCTGCCCTTTTTATTCCTGTCCATTTTCTTGGAACATTTTTTTTTCCATCCCTTTACTTTCAATCTGTGTAGGTCCTTTGTTCTGAGGTGGGTGTCTTGTAGGCAGCATAGATGTGGGTCATGTTTCCTTATTCATTCAGTTACTCTGTGTCTTTTGATTGGAGAACTTAATCCATTTACATTTAAAGTTATTATTGATAGGTACTTATTCATTTTTACCCTTTGTACATGTGTTCCTTTCTTTCTCACTCTTTTTCCTCATCTTTTTAAAGCAGTCCCTTTAACATATCTTGCAGTGCTGGTTTGGTGGAGGTGTATCCTTTTAGCCTTCTTTTGTTGGGGAAACTCCTTATTTCACCTTCCATTTTAATTGAGAGCCTTGCTTGGTATCGTTGCAGGTATTTGCTTTTCATGACTTGGAATATTTCTTGCCAGTCACTCCTGGCTTGTTGTGTTTCTGTTGAGAAGTCAGCTGCTAGCCATATCGGGGCTCCCCTGTATGCTACTACATGTTTATCCTGTCCTGCCTTTAGGACTCTCTGTTTGTCTTTGATATTTGCCATTTTAATTATGATGTGTCTTGGAGTGGGCCTCACTGCGTTCCTCTTGGATGGGACCCTCTGTGCTTTCTGGACTTCTGTGACTTTTTCTTTCCTCAAATTAGTGGTTTTCCATCATTACTTTTTCAAACAGGTTCTCCATCCATCATTCCTCCTCGTCTTCTCTTTCTGGTATCCCTATTATATGGATACTATTACGTTTCAGGTTGTCCTGCATTTCCCTAAGTGTCTCCATTCTTTTTGAGTCTTTTTTTCATATTCTTGCTCTTTCTGGGAGCTTTTTTCTACCCTGTCCTCCAGCTCAGTGATTTGATCTTTGGCTTCATCTAGCCTGCTTTTGATTCCTTCTTCTGTGTTCTTCAATTCAGAAATTGTATTTTTCATTTCCTATTTCCTGTTTCCTCTTGTTGATAGTTTCTATGTCCTTTTTCAGGCCAATATAGCTTGTAGTATCTTCCTGGTAGTTTTCCTGTTGTTTGGTGGTTCTCTCAGCTCACTGAGGTCATTTAGCTTCTCTATCACCATTGTTTTTAATTCAATATCTGATAGTTTACTTGCCTTTGTTTCATTTAGTCCTCTTTCTGAGGATTCCTCCTTTCCCTTCAATTGGGGCATATTTCTTTGTCTTCTCATTATTTGTGAGACTCTTCTTTTTTTCTTCTGCTTCTTAAATTGGTCTGTGTAGACTTTCTGACTTTGTGGTATGAACTTCTATGGTAGGAGACCTGTGAGATTCAATGGTGCAGATTCCTTGATCTCTTGAACTTGCCACTCTTTGGATGCCTTATATGCCGTTTATGTTGGCTCTCTGGAAGCAGTTGGGTTTTGACTGTTGTTTGGTTGCTCTTTGGAGGGTCCTTCCCTCCACCTGTTTAATGGAGGTCACTCTGCCCACCATGTCTTGTGTGTTTTTGTGCAGCTGCCACCAGAACAAAACCAGAAAGGCCAGGAAACAAACCCTCGTCTGCAAAAATAACTCCCCCTCTGCAATCCCACTATCAACTGCAAATGAGCCAATATTAATAAGGCTGTAAAGTGATTAAGACTATGATAAGAAGAGAGAGAAAGAAACTATTAGTATAAAATCTGATGACTTAATGTGCACAAACTTGATGGACCCGAAATGAATGTTAAATAGCTATGTAGTAAAGAAAATACCACAGATCATTGAGAAGACCACAGTGGATTTTGTCTCAGTAGCCTCTAGTATTTACTGCTGTTTTTTCTTTCTGGATCTGCCTCTAATGATGTCAGATGTTGACCCCGTCTGACCTTAGGCAGTCTGTTTGAGACATCCAGGAATCTACTATCTACGGCTCTCTCCTTCAGTTGGTAATCTAGTCACTCTGCACTCAGCAGTCAGGCTTGGGCACCACAGCGTGAGGCAGAGTCCCTTCTGTTAGCAGGGCTATTGTTTCTTCTGACGCTGCTGCTGCTCAGGGGAATAGTCTCCCTGAACAAGATGGCTGCTGCCGTATGGGAGATGACTCAGCACCGGGATCCAACTAGCTACTCTCTTAGTTCTCTCCCCAAAGCCTCCATCTCCAGTCTCCCCTCAAGTGTCTCTAGACCACTCAGTGCCCCCTTTAGCCAGGGATCTACTATCTGTGGCTGCCACTTTGTTCTCAGCAGTCAGGCTTAAACACCACAGGGCAGGGCAGAGTTACTCTTGAGGGCAGGGCTATCGTGTTCTCTCATGCTGCTGCTGCTCAGGGAAGTGGCCTGCCTAAGCAAGATGGCTGCTGCCGTATGGAGGATGAGTCAGCACCAGAATCCCCCTGGCTACTCTCTCTCAGTTCTCTCCCCAACGTCTCCTTCCCTAGTCGCTCCTCAGGAGTCTCCAGCCACTCTGCCCCTGCCTTGGCTGGAGCCCAGGGTAAGTGGCTACAAATAAAAATTTATGCGTTGGCCCTTTAAACAGCTCTTTGCGTCTCCAGCTGCCTGTCTCTGGCGGAGAGCAACCCTGCTGCTTTTCACAGCTGGTTGTTATCTGTGTACTTTTTGGGCTCTGGTGCTGTAGGCTGGGGACCCCCACTTACTGTTTATACCCCGCTCTTCTCAGGGGTTACAACTGGCCGTTTAAATATCCCTGTGGTGCTGCTGCCCGTGGGTGCCCAGCCAGCCAGCCTTCTTGAGTCTCCACCACACTCCTTACCAGTCAAGTTGTGCCAAAGCTGATTCCTCTGTTTGTCCAAGGTTACAAGGCTCCTCTCTTGCTATTGTTCAGTTGTTTGTTCCAGGTGATTTCTCCACAGCTTAGTTGTAATTACAGATTCATCCTGGGAGGAGGTCAGTGTGACTTCCATTCACTCCTCTGTCATCCTGCCAACCCCTCTTCATTATGTCTTTAATGCTACACAAATAAAGAATACTGTACTCACGCAAGTAAGTATGCAATATGATGACTTGGAAGGACATGATTTGATTTCCACTTCAAAAATCTAAATAATATATGATTAGGAGTTCCAACAGTAGAAATTTTGTTTTTATTTGACCAGATTTCTATGGCCGATATTACAACAGTCAGTTTTAACTGAGTAAGCATCTGAGAAGAGATGGTAAATGACAATTTTTTAATAAATGTGAACATTATATTAAAACTTTATAAAAATATATTTAAGACATTTAATTTGGTAGTTTGATCATGGAAACTCTTCAACAGCACAACCAAATTCTATATATATAAAAACATATCACATACACTTTAACAAAGTATATAAACAAAAGAGTTTTTTTAAAACTTACAGTGTTAACAAATCCAATTATCTGAATAACCTTCTGTGTGACAGACTTTATATCAGAGCCCATGTAATCAAACTGAAAAAGATAAATTATTTTTAAAAACTAGTGAATGCCATTAATATATCACAAACCTTTTATATATATAATGTACTATATTTTAAATTAGCGATAGAACTACATTCCATTTGTAATCCAAGAAGTGGATAATGATGTATAAATAACTATTTATAAAAATAATTTAATTTCTATAATAAGTAAAAACAATTAAAACATGATTTTGGTTTTTGTCTTCTTCGGTGATACTCTTACTTTTTGAAAACTTTAATAATAGTTCTAAAGTTACACATCTTTATTAGATTTATGGGGTAATGTTGGTTAATAAAATTACATATGCTTCAAGTATGCAATTTTATGAAGTGCTTGAATGGCTCAACTGGCAGAGCAAGAGACTCTCAATAACGTGATTTTAAGCAATGTTAATGCAGTTAACTGTGCCATTAATTATTACTTCTGAAAACTGAATAATAACTTTTTTATATGGGATAGTTTATAAATAAGTGAGACTATATCAAACTAAAAAGCTTTTGCACCACCAGTAAAGAAACCCGCTAACAAAACAAAACAAAACAAAAACAATCAATCAAATGGGAGGATGTAGTTGCAAACAACAGTTCTGACAAAGGGTTAATATCCAAAATATATAAAGAACTCATACAACTCAATGTTAAACAAAAAGACAATCCAATTAAATATGGGCAGAAAACCCGAGCAGACATTTCTCCCAAAAAAGCATACAAATAGCCAACAGATAAATGAAAAGCTTCTCTCCACCATGGTGGAAAGAAGGGGAAGGGACTAGTCAAAGAACATATATGAATAACCCATGTACATGGACAACAGAGTAGAGATTGACTGGGGGGCTGGGTGCACTGGGCAGAGGAAGGCAAAGGAGGGAAAATTGGGACAACCATAATAAAATAACAATAAAAATGTTTAAAAATAAATCAAAACATTCTCAACTTCAGTAGCTATTAGGAAAATGAAAATCAAAACTACAAAATAATACCTCATACCTGTTAGAATTGTTATCATCAACCATTACAAGTAAGAATAAGTGTTGAAGAGGTTATGGAGAAAAAGGAACATTCATTCACTGCTGATGGGAATGTAGACTGGTAAAGCCACTATGGAGGTTTCTCAAAAATTGAAGAACATGTGGGATATAAAACTAAAAACAACAAGTGAACAAATAAGAAAACAAGCAAAAACTGAAGACACAGACAAAAGTGTGGTGGTTACCAGAGGGAAGGAAGGTGGGAAAGGTAATAAAGGGTAAAGAGGGTCAATATATGGAAACAGGAGATGATTTGACTTTTGCGGGAGGCAAACAATACAACATGTACAGGTCAAGTATCATAGAAATGTACTTGAAACCTATGTAATTTTATTAATCAACATTTCCCCAATAAATTTAATAAAAAGAAAAAAGAAAGAACAGAATTACCATATGACCCTGTGACCCCTCTTCTTGGTATCTACCTGAAAATTTTAAAAACATTTATTTATAAAGATATCTATATCTTTATGTTCATTGCAGCATTATCCATGGTGGCCAAAACATGGAAACAACTGCAGTGTCTTGAATACATGATTGGATAAAGAAGCTGTGGCACATAAATACCCAGCTATAACCAAAGAGAAAATACTGTCATTTGTCTTGCTTTCAATTGATTTTTATCTTTGGTGTATGTTTGTCTGTTTGTTTGTTTTTGTTTAATTGTACTTTTCCATTACCATTTATTCCCCTGTACCCCCTTCCCCCTGCAATCACCACACTGTTGTCCACCTGCATGAATCCTTTTTCCTTTCTGCTCCGTCCCTCTACCCTTAACCACCACCCCATAGCGGCCATACTGCTCTCTATCTGAGTCTATCTCTATATTGTTTGTTAGTTCAGTTTGTTCATTTGTTCCCACATATGAATGAAACCATATGCTATTTGTCTTTCTCTTACTGGTTTATATCACTTAGCATAATGTTCTCCAGGTCCGTTCATGCTGTCACAAAGGATAACATTTTCTTCTTTTTTACAGCCAGGTAGTATTCCGTTGTGTAAATAGCCAATAGTTGTTTTATCTACTCATCTACTCATAGACACTTGGCCTGCTTACATATTTTGGCTATTGTAAATAACACTGCAATGAACATATGCGTGCTTATGTTCTTTCAAATGAGTGTTTTGGGTTCCTTCGGATATATTCCCAGAAGCGGAATCACTGGGTCGTAGGGAAGATCCATTTTCAGTTTTCTGAGGTATCTTCATATTGCTTCGCATAGTGGCTGCACCAGTCTGCATTCCCACGAACAGTGCAAAAGGGTTCTCTTTATTCCACGTCCCCGCCAGCACTTACTTTGGTTTTTAATTGCAGTGTTTATTCCCTCTATGCCTACTAAAATTACTTTTATATTTGAGCCGAAATCTTTTACGTTAACCTTAGCTTTTAAATTTGTTCCATATTTATGAAACAAATGTATAATGTATAATGCTTTTCTTCCCCTTTATTGCCTTCTTTTTGTTTATTATGCTTAAAATTCCAATTACCAACTTCTAAGTGCTTTGTAATTTTATAGCAGTATGATCTTAGATTATGTCTTGGCTCTGTGCTGGGTCAACTTAGCTATGATAGAAAAGTCTAAAACTCTTTTGTGAGCCATGAGCTTCATTTCTTTTTTTTTTATCCCTGACCACAGTTATGTCCACACTTTCCTGCCTCATTTTTACTTCTTTGAGAATCAACTGGCTTTTGGGAAAAATAGGAAGTCAAAAACAAAAAATTTTGTTTATAACCTAGGCATTAAAATATTAATAGCTGAATGTGGATCTAAATCTATTAATTTTTGTTTTGCTAACCCTTGTACACTGTGGCTAATTTTCTTATGGATTTTGAGCTCATACATGGCTCATATTAATCTGTGGGAATCCTGTTTGAACTTGTATTCCTCTAAGGATAAATACCATTTACTTCCTTTATGCGCTCTCAGATCTTACCAACCGAGGACAAAGATATCCTCATATCTTAGAGAAAGGGGGAGGAAATGGGGACAACTGTAATTAAACAACAATAAAAAAAGGAACCCCCTAACCACCTATGTTGTATGAATTCAAAATTTAAACCCAAGATCTGAAAAATAGTTGTGAATTCTCAGTATGAAAAGTTTGCTCATTTGTTTTCCTGTCATTTCAAATACTTAGAACTGAGAACAAAACAGATACCTCATTTTCTTTGCTTGAAAGAGGTGGCATGTGTATTTAGTAGACTGCTTTGCCATTTAGGCTGAGGCAGCTAAATATTACTGCATGTGGGGTTGAGGGTTTGGGGAAATTCTGATCTATACTTGCATTGAGAATGTAGTCTTTTTGGAAAAGAGGAAAAATAACAAACAAGGTTTAGAAAATGAGAAGATGCTTCACTTTATAAAAGCCATTGGAGATCATATATACAAAATAAATACATTAACAAAAACTTGGCTTATTCACAATTTTAAGAACTTATTCATTGTTCTAAAAGCAAAATAAGCATCAAAAATTTGTTTTAAATTGTCATTACATCATTGAAATCAAGTTAAAGACAAATGTTAAATAATTTTAAAGTAATAATATATGAAAAAAGGACCTACCAGATTTTTATCCACAACGATAAATATTTCAAGGTATTGAGGGAATAACTTGAAAAATTCAGCTCTCTGAAAAACACACAACATGAATACTGAGAAATTTCTAAAAATGTATCCTTTATTGAAATTACATTCAAAGATAAATTGAGAGACATGTGGCTACCAATTATATAATACGGCTAGCTTCAAATATAGAATTTAGGTACTTTTAGGAAAATTCTAATCCAAAAAGTGCCTGGGTTTAAAAGAATTTTGACTAAGATCCCAGGCTATATAAGAACCCAGGTTTTTCGATTTTAGCAATAGCTGAAATTGGAAATATTAACTTTTAACATATAGCTTTTCTTTCCTTAGCCTTGTGATAATTTTCATAGTAATCTTCCATATAGGCAGATTTATTAGTTTATTGGGAAACTACTGGTGGCAAACAATATAGTTTAAAAAATATTACTCAAGCATGATCAATGGCATTCACTGGTGCTAGGGATGTTATTTATGACAGTTTGCAAGCGTTTGCGGAGGAAGAATTAACCACTTTGCTTTTCATGTACTTTATGTAAGCCACTGATGTTATCCGTTTGTGAACTTTTGTGAAACACAGACTTAACTTACAAATTCAGATCACATAATGTTTATACCATGTAAATCATCAGACAATTAAGGAAAAGGAATAATTTAATTATCCAAATGCCCACATGTTAAAATTAATTTTTTGGTATCCTTAATCCTATTTTCACATGCCTGTTCCCAATGTTAATTACTAAGTTTTGCTAAACTGTCATCTGATAACAAGCATAACAAAGAACTCAATTTCATTTTTTATTTATTTTAAAATTCATGCAGGTACCTCTTTAAAAAGTAAAATAATTCCAATATTTGCAAGTTGCCAAATTTTGCTCTGAGATTAACTTTATTTCACAAAATTACACTAAATAGATTAAAATTAAAAAGTCAACACTTACTTCTGGATTTTTTCTATAGTGATACTTGGAATTATTATAACTGTAATCACCACTGTCTACTACAAGAGGAATGTTACTGTTATAATCTTTGTCTTCATAAATCACGTGCATGAATTCTGATACAGTCTCCATTGGTTCTATTTCATATGAGATGTTTTTCAACTGCAACGTTCCCCTGAATGTTGAAATAATCAAAACATCTAAAATGATTCTACCAAAACTATAGTCTAATATTCTAATAAGAAATGTTGGCCAAGTTCTTATTTTTTCATTTAAAGTCACCTTAGTTTTTCTACCTTCTCTCTTTATTTTTGAGGCATTACCCAGAACTGGACCAGTAATATCACAGGGAATGTATTGCTTTATGTTATAAATGTTCTAAAAAGAGTATCTTAAAGACATAATGTTGGTGGCATGGATCCCTAGGCTTAAACAGGTTAAGACCCTGTCCTTGGGGACAGGTATTTTAAGCCAGCCTCTAGGACCTATAGGCACTCTTTCCCTTAATCTTCAGTCCCCTCCCTCTTTTTGAAACACCTAACTCTCCCTGACACTTAATGTCCTAAATAATTTGTGTGGGCTGAACTGAAGACACTACCTGCCTAAAAATGATTACAGCCAAGCCAAAGTGTCTAAGAGATTGACAATTTCTACAACCGTCAACCATCCTAGGACATTAAGAAAACATAAAACATTGGGGAAAACTAAAATACAGAGAGACCTAGCAACCCCCCTAACACTCATGATTGCTCAAAGCCTCAAGCAACAGATCCTGTCAGAGTCAACAAGTAGCCGCCCATCAGAAAGAGATGCTGTCTGGGTGACCATCTATTTTATCAACAATTCTTACTCATTCCTTGGGGAATTAAAGTAACAAAGGTGATTTTAGAATCAGAAAAGATATGTGGAGGATCAACCCATACACTAAGAGGATCTAATACTGGCAAATGAAATCTATTTCCACTGGTTACAACCTGAGTCCTGAACAAATGCTGAGTGACACAAGAGAATTTGGAAAGCCTGCAATATATCCAGAATAACTGCAATCCATCTGAAAAAAAATACATGAAGATAAACAAATGAATAACATTTCAAAAATAGATACCGCATATATGTCATCTATATGTATTATTACATTAGCTACCTTAGTACATTAATATGAATGGCAATTACCTAATGAAGCTGTGCCAGGTAGAAATAAGAACTAGTCCGGGTTATATATTTTAGGGAATGTATAAAATTATATTCTAGTAATTTCAAAGTATTCATATTTTTAAAGGAAATTCAGAGCAAGACATCTGTAAGAAAAAAATAACAAGTCTTACCTGATCTAACAAAGGGCTAGCATTCCGGGTGTCATTTTTGTCATAAGAATAAACAACAGAAACTGAAGATAAAAATGATCTAGGCAGAAAGCACAAAAACATGCTCAAGTTGTGAAACAGAAAACGTAGAAAAAAATATTCTTTATAATAAATTTTTCATTTTCCTGGAGAATCTAAAGTAGTGCCAATTGTCTTGTCATATCTTATTTTCCAAACACCCCTCTAGCACTTACAATAAATTAGGCACTGAGGAAGGCATTTTAACTATAGCGACATATACCAAAATTCATGCTAATGAACAATCCAAATTCCTTGAAATATCAAACAGTGAAACAACATAGGTTCCAATTTCCAGCACAGAACGTTCAAATCTTTGTCTTTATTGCTCATTGACTCCAGATTTTAAACCAGAATCTCAAAATTAAAATGTAGGGTTAGAATATAATCTTGAAAGACTTCCTTGACATTGCTACAAACTCATTCACTAAGCTTAGCTAAGTACCATGTTCTCTTCAATAAACTGGGTCCGGGTTGCCTTTCATTATCCTCAGTATCCATCCAAAAACATGGCGCCGCCACTGTCAATCACCCCACATAACCTCCATGTGGGTGTTACACCTGTGCCCATCCTCACCTCGTCTCTTTGTTTCCAGAAGATGATTACTTTGGTTCAAAGTAAATCCTATACTTGTGCAACGAATCCCATTTTGTGCCATATGTTGAAGGTGCATGTTTTTTTCAGCACCATAAATTCGAACTCTTCCTCTCTTTTATCCTAACACTATTTTAAAACTTGATTATCAAGTCATTACCATCCTAAATAACTCTCCCTTGACCCTGGGTCCTACTATAGCTATCCCCTATGTATTTCCAATTTGCAACCTATTTTTTTGAATAGTTCATTTTTTAATTGTACTTTTTCCATTACCGTTTATCTCCCCATACTGTCTTCCACCTCCACCCAACCCCTTTCCCCCCATAGCAACCACCACACCATTGTCCATGTCCATGAGTTCTTTTTCTTTTTCTTTTTATCTTATTTTTGGAGAGGGAGAGAAACATCAATGTGTGAGAGAAACATTGACTGGTTGCCTCTTGCACAGGCCCAGCACGGGACCTGGCCTGCAACCCAGGCATGTGCCCTGACCAGGAACCGAACCAGCAACCTTTTGCTTAGCAGGCTGACGCTCAGCCCACTAAGCCACAGCAGCCAGGACTCTTTTTCTGTTTACTCTATCCCTCCACCCCTCAACACCACCCCCAAAGCTGTCAGCCTGCAACTTATTTTTATCAAATAAGTAGTCTCTACCCAGTCTCTCCACTTTGTCAATACTTTATTCACAATGAAACTGCTCTGAAAAGATTCATAGCTACCAGAATATCAAATCTAAAAACAATTTTTAAATAATCATTGTCCTGGAATTCTAGCATCTTTTTGGAAACTGTGCCTACTCAGTCTAATCACCATCACTCTTCTGCTTCTCTTTCAGATGTCGGCCCACAGTGACCCATGGGCCAAACTGGGCTGGCTGCATGTTTTGTAAATAAAATCTTATTGAAATATAGCCAGGCTTATTGGTTTACATATTGTTTATAGCTGCTTTTGCATTGCAGTACAAAATTGCTTAATTCCAACAGAGTGTACAGCATATTAGTTAATAATATTTACTATGTGTCTCTTTACAGAAAAAGTTTGTCAGCCCCTGGTCTAGGAGAACACAGTCTTCCATGTTCTTTGTTCTACCTGTCCTGAAATATTGGCCTTTACCAGGATTCAGTCTTCAGCCACCAATCTATTTATAAGCACTCTACAAGCTCTCATTTAATAATACCACCAAACTATTGATTCCTGATAAACCTATATCCAATTACCAATCTCTGCCCAGAGATTCATATTCCTATACTCATATACCTAGTGGAAAAGCCTACTTGGATATCTTATAGGCCCTGCAAACTAAACTAAACCCTTTCCTCACAGGAAGATCTCCCTTGTTCATATTCCTCATTTTATCCAAGATTCCTCACTCTTTCCCAGTCACACTACCAAATCTGTCTTCCAGGTCTACTGAATGTTTCATTTCCTGTGCCACCGCCTATACCATACATTCAAGCCACCAATCATCGCTCACCTAAACTATCATATACCCTTCCTCTACTTTTGCCCCCTCAAAATCAGACTGCAAGACTCAATGAGCCTATGTAAATATAATTCTACAAACATTTTGGCCTCCAATATCCTTACCATGGCATGCCAGATCTTCTGCAACCTGGTCCTACCTACTACTTTTCCAAAATCTTGTACTCCTTTCCTCCAGAAGACATGTTCTTTAGTAATTCACACTGACTCTTTGCACACCACAGAATGTACTTGGTCTCACATCTCCATGTTTTACGCATGGTTCTCTCTAAACAGAATGCCCGCCTACACTACCCCACTTCTTTTCAGAGCTAAAGGCATCCTCCCTCAGCATTCAAGCCATCTCTTACCTCTTTCCAAAATGCCTTCCTTGATTTTCAGACTGCTGTTTACACATCTATCATAATACCATGTTATAATAAAATTCTCCATTTTTCTATTAATGTGTTTGAATATATCTTTCTGCATTATAAGTGATTTAAATGTGGACCATATTTGATTTTCTTTAGTATGCCTAAAGCTTTACCCAATAACCAATACACAATAGATATCAAGGGCATATAGGTATCAAATATATGTCTGAATTGAAATGCTCCTATTCATAGCTATTTTTATAAATCAAGAAACCAAAGAATTAAAATTTGAAAGGATAAAATAATTACTTACTGCTTTTTGAGATGGATAAAATATGGTTTTCCTTTTATGGTAATCATATAAGCAACCTGTAACATGAGAATTCAAAATATTTTCAATAATACTTGTAAATACTATGTTAAATGACGTTTCCTGTCAGGAACCTATGCCTTTAAAATGTTGTCAAAATTAATAATAATATATAACCATTACATATGCTTCCCTTCCCATGTGAATATTTGAAGCTTCGGCATTGTGAAGTGAGAACAAGGTGGTAGAGACCCCACATGCCTGCTAGTCACCATTACTCATTTTTCTGAGAGAGAATCTTACCTGATGGTTGCATATTTTGCCTTACACGCATACCATCAACCCACCACGCTGAAAGTAAATACCAAAGGTGCCTACCTCACTTGAGAGAACCTTCTGCTTGCTTACTCCAAGCTACCCTGGAAAGTAAATTTCCCTGCTCATTGGAAGAGACACTCCTAAAAGACAGAACTACAGGAATGTACTATACCTCTAGCAACATAACACAGCAACTACCATTGCCCTTTGCTTCTCCAACTAAACAATGAAACTCCTCTGGAATAGAACATAGGAGAACACAGAGATACAGCAGAGACATGTAAGGAGAACCCTCTAGAACATAACAGGAAGTATGAGTCCTTAAATTACTTATTTTGTTAATATTTACAGATTATGTTAGCCAGAGAAAAAGCCATTTGAACATTTTCAGCAGAATCAGAATCTTTGCAACAGATAAATGGTCTAAGAAGAGTCATCTTGGTGGCACACGGGAAAGAAGTGCAAGTGGAGTCTGGAGGGGACCTTGAAAGCTGTGCCCTCTAAAAATCCCTTGTTATTAAATGAATAGCACAAAAAATAAAGGGGCATTTGGTAGCAGCAATAAAATGCTAAATCTACATATATTACAAAGAAAACAACTATAACATAATTAACAAGAAATGTACAAAATTGACAGGAGGAAAAAAAGTTCGAAAAGACACGACCAGAGCTTCTACAGCTTTTCATGCACAACATCCAGCTGTGTGGGTTGAACTCTGTCCCTCTAAGTTTGTATGTGAATTTCTAACCCCAGGATCTCAGAATGTGACCTTACTCAGAAAATGAAGTTACCTGGATAATGAAGTTAAAATGAAGTCATTGGTGTGGTCCCTAAACCAATGTGACTGAGATACGTATCAAGAGTAAATGTGAACACAGACATATGCAAAGGCAGAATGCTATGCTAAGGTTCATAAGAAGTACACATTCATCTCTAAACCAAGGATAGGGGTGTGAAGTGGATCTTTCCTCACAGTCCTCAGAGAGGACCAACCCTACCAGCACCTTGATCTTGGACTCCTATACTCCAGACCTGTGAGACAATAAATCTCTGTTGTTTAAGCCACATGGCTTGTGTTACTTTGTTACAGCAGCTCTATAAAACTAATATCCCAAATTTCAGTAAAAATTAAAAGAAATGCTAAATAAGAGGATAAAATTATCCAAAATATAAAAAATAGAACTAACAAAGCCACAGGTACTATGTATAACAACCATGATTAAAATGAGAAAATGCTAGAGAATTTCAATGGAAGTGTAGTATCACTTATACACCCAAGTGCAAAAAAATATTCAAGTACGCATGGAACATTATGAAAAAAAAAAAAAGACCATATGTTGGGTGATAAAGCAACTCCATCAAATTTTATAAGTTAATATCATATTTATAGACAAACTAAACAATTAGAAAATGAGCTTAAGGGAAAAAATACCATTTATTATAGTGTTAAAATCTGTCAAAAATTGATATTAAATTTAACAAAAAATTTGCAAGACATCTACATGGAAAACTACCACACCTCACTGAAAGAAAACCTAAAATATATATAAAGATATACTATGTACATGAATGAGAAGATTCAATGTCATTTAGTTCCCACTAAATTGATGCATAAATTGAATGCAAACTCAGTAAAATCCTAGCAGACCATTTGTTGATATAAACAAGCTAACTGAACTTAGAAGTGTCAAGTCAATCTTAAACAATATAAAAAAGAGTAAGAATACCTACACAAATCTATATTAAGACTTCTCACAAAGCTATAGCCATTAGGCTAGTGGACTTGGACCAAAGTATTGAAAAATAATCCAATGGCAAAGAATAGCGATCTCAGAAAGAGCCACAAATACACATTTATATGATCTTCAATAATGTCACACTGCAAGACAGTGAGGGAAATGGCCTTCTGTACATCCTGCTTGGTGAATTGGGTATCCACATGGAAAAATAAATAAAACTT